CTGCTCCGGGCTCGTTCGGTACTCCCGGGTCACAGCCGGCTTCGGTCCGGCTCGGGCTGCAGGGAATAGAGTAGGAGGGTGATTACAAAAAGCTGGGAGGTGGATGCCGGGATGTAGCTTCAGGTCTTCCTAGAGAGCTCTCTGTGCATGAGACAAAACAGGGAGCAATTCGAATCGTTTTGGCTTCTGTTTTGTCACCTTTGCAGCCGGATCTCCCACACCTCTCCCGTGTTTCTGGAAATGGATCAGCGCTGCAATACCCGCTCCTCCTGAGAATCCACTACACAGATCACGACAAGGACATCACTAAGCAAGTTCTGTACAGTTTATTGAAGAATAAAGTAAAACTGCTTATTACACAGACGTTCCTGGTACCTGATATGAAGTCCATACAGTTGATTTACAGCCCTTTTCTTCAATAACTCCCACATTCTATTCAGATATGCCACGATACGTTTTAACAGAACTGTGTGTGTTCCTCCTGCTCTGTTGGAGTTAGGTGGGCAAAAAGCAACGTGATAATTGGAGCCGCCAGCTGGCGACTATGTGTTGGAAGGAATGGGTTAAAAGTAGATGTCTGCCTGTGGAGGAGGATTGTAATCAGGAAGCTGGGAATAACCCTTGCTAAACCGGTGTGAACACTCCGGTGGTTCTCTGGCTTGACCCCAGTTTAATGGTGCCTGTGTCTCCCCTTGTGTGCCTCTGCCAAGGGGTTGCCAAGGGATCCCCCAGTCAGCAAGGGAAAGGAAATCAATTACTCGTTGGGGTTTAGCCATGGGTTTGTGATTGTCCTGCCTGCTGCCTGCCTGTGCCAACACTCACTTGGGCAGTTAAACAATAGCAAGGTAAGAATATTTGGCAAAGATAGAGTGCTTAGAGAAATGTGTTTCAAGGCCCACTGGGTTTGATGACATTTAAATATCTCAGATTATTTCATGAACTGGTTGAAATAGTGACAAAACCATGAAGAGTGACTCTGATATTAGGAACCTGGAAGAGGCAAAAATGCACCTGTGTGGAAAGAGACAAGAGGATAGGCTCTAGGGAATATGAATTAATGAATTTGCCTGTAATTAAAAAAAAAAAAAAATTAAAAAAAAATTGGTGCATGTAAGTTGTTTGTGGCAATTAATGAGACTACTACTCGTTTCCAACAGATTGTCAAGAATTAATCCAGTGTCTATGCAATATGCAGCTACTTAAAAAGAAATTGGGTAGTTTTACCCGTTTGGTTTGCATGCTAAACCTGAGGCAAGCCTTCTTGCCCAAACAGCCCTAGTCTTCTGGAGCACAATTGCCTATGGCCCAGGGAGTCTCTTCATGTATATATATAAAACCTCAGTTAAAATTTCCCTGAGTGCATTCAGGTATCGTCCTCACTTGTCAGCACTCTTGCTGATAGCTCTTCAGGCAAGTACTTTGTTGAATGCTTAAAAAATCACAAGGAATAGGAGGCAAGAGAGGATTTTTCTGATGACAATCAAAGAAATTGAAAATACTAGAAACCTTGTTTCCAGGGTCAAAATTAGTAAAGAAAACTTCATCTGTCTGGGTACAGCAACTCTGTGCTGTGGTCCAAAGTCCTGCCATGTATCAGAATGATAGAATAATAGCATATGCTCAATTGGAAGAGACCCATCACAGTCATCAAGTCCGACTGCGCAGGACATGCCAAGGATCCCATGATTAGCCTAAGAGCATTGTCCATATTCTTCTTGAACTCAAACAGGTGCTTGGCGCTGTGACCACTATCCTGGGGAGCATCTTCCAGTGCTCAACCACTCTTTGGGTGAAAAACCTTTCCCTGATACCCAACCTAAACCTCCCCAACTCAGCTCCATGCCTTTTTCTTGAGTCCTGTCACTGGTCATGAGAGTGAAGTGATTGGCATTTGCCTCTCCGTTTCCCCTTGTCAGAATGTTGAAAACTGCAATGAGGTCTCCCGTTAGTCTCTTCTTCTCCAGGCTGAGAAAACCAAGTGATGTGACCCATATCTCGTAAGCTTCCCCTCCTGTCCCTTCTCCATCCTCGTGGTCTCATTTGGATGGTCTCTAGTAGCTTAATGTCTTCTTAATATTGTGCTACCCAAAAGTGCACATAACACTCAAGGTGAGGCTGCACCAGTGCAGAGTAAAGCAGGACAATCACCTCCCTTGACTAGCTGGCAATGTTTTGCTTGATGCACTTCAGGACATGGCTGGCCCTCCTGGCTGCCAGGGCATACTGTTGACTCAGCAGGAGCAGTCTTGTACTTCAGTCTTCCCTGGTAGTCTCTAAAGCACATAATTCTGCTGATAAGATGAAAAGTAAATAGCCCGTGTGCTACTGCCCTGCCATGTGCTCATCTCTTTTACAAGCAAAGATGGAAAATTTACAGGAGTGATTAAAATAAGAACCTGCTGGCTCTGGTTCTCTGTTCCACAGCACTGAAAGGCAGTGAAGGTGTCGGCAGAGTGGGACCACTGATCTTTGTGGCCTAATGGGGCTTTGAGTCCTCTGTCTCACAGCTTGAATGAAGTCCAGTCCGTTTCACTGTGGAAAGCAGCTGTAGAATGCCTGCTGAAACAAAGGGAAATAATCTAATCCATATTCTTTAACTTGGTTGCTTTAATACCTGTTTAAATACCTTCCCAGCCTACAGGAAGAAAAAATCTTTGGTTTGGTTCCTGTCCTGGTTTCAGCACGGACCAGTGGGAGGGGACACGGCCAATACCTTAATACCAATATCACCTCACATCATTGCTGGGGGCAGAAAAAGGAACTCTCACTTCTGAGGAGAAGGGGTTCCTTCTATCTGGGAAGAGCCAGTCAGTATTGTTGGACTTTCCATGCAAATAATTTCTTTGTCTTATAGCTTTACTTATTATACCTTTGTAATATTGTTGCTGTTACTGTTCCATATCTCGTTCCTGTTTCTTATCTCCACCCGTGATCTTTGCCTTTTTTTATTCCTCTTGAAGGAATTCAGGGGAGCAAGCAGTGCAGTTTTAGTGGGAGAATTAAATTGGGATATACTTTTCCAAAACCATGACAGTTCCATTATTTTTCTGACTGCATTGAACAACTACATCCCCTAAGGCCTGGGTCTGTCTTGCCACTGCCAGATCCACTGTCTTGCAAATTAATTAAGCTTCACTTGGAACAAGGAGAGACAATATGCATCATGGATATACCTGGATCAGAAAAATGGGCTCACCGTGCATCACTTAAATGTCTTTGCATCAAAATATAGTGTAATGCACTATTAAAACTACTTTGTCTATGTTCTTGCCTCTGAAAAAATTTAGACCTAAGGTAGTAAAGCAGCGCTGTTCTAAGGTACTCCTCCTTTCTTCTCTTGAAAGAGTATTTTTGCTTTCCTTTTACAAATAATTTTTCTTCTGAGCTACTCATGCCCTAAGCTGCTTCTGTCATCCAAGCATGTGCACATTAACCATTGCCTTAGCCAGTTAGTGAAAAAGGGTACCTGTTGGGTGGTAGTAGATCATCTTTGAAATTCTTTGCCGAGCAAACAAGCCCAGGTCTGATAATCAATTTATAGGTCATGTGCTACCATCTTTGTAGCACTCCACTGGACCCTCTCCAGTTCCTCCACAACCCTCTTGAACTTCAGGGGCAAGAAACTGCATACAGAAGTCCAGATGTGGCCACAGCACTGCTAAGCAGACATGAACAACTTCTTTCTGTCTCTGGCCATGTTCTTCCTAATACAGTGTGCTGTGTGGGTTGTTTTATTCACAATCACATCTTACTGGTATCCATGGCAACTTCCAGGTCCTTCCAGCAGGACTGCTTCTCATCCACTCAGTCCTCAGACAGGAAAGATGCATGGGGTCACTGTGCCCTGTTTCAGAACTTGGCTGTCCTTCCTAAACCTCATAAGGCACCTGTTGACCGAGTTCTTTAATTTTTCAAAGTCCCTCTGGACTGAAGCTATATTGTTCAGCATGTCCACTGCTCACCTTGAATCTTTATTACCATTTCTTCATTCCCTTCTCCTGTAGAATAACTTACAATTATTCTCACCAGAGATATAGTCTACCCTTTGAGCTGTATGATTGTACCTAACCAGACAGACACCTAGGTCTCTGACCTTCCAGCTGTGAACCACACTGAGGCTAAAATACAAGAGCAGCTTTGAATTCTTTACTCGTATGAACAAAAGAATAAAACCATCTGAGCCAGAAGTGGCTAAGTATCCCAGGAACTGAAGCACAAAACTATAGGTAGCTGCTATGGATGTCAAACCCCTGAACCTTTTTTGGCAATGAGCAGCCAGAGATGTCTAGAGCACTAGCACTCATAGTAGGAAATGGAGGAGGTTTTTATTTGGTTTTCCATAAATATAGACATCAACTTCTGCTGGGTTGTTTGCATTAGGTTAATATTTCTGTAGTGTACAGGTGTTGCTATTACCTATGAATGTCTGCTGCCTGTCTCTAGCCCTGTAAAGAGCAGACTGTGGTGCTGTAAATATTAGCCCAAGCAGAGAAATGTTTGCTCAGCCCTTCTCTGTGCTGCCTCCCTCAGAGTTTTCTGATAGTACTCCTGACAAATGGCCAAGACAGCATCTTTTGCACTTTCCAGTAACATGCTCTGGTTTTGACTCATGAAGGGTTGTAATGGTCAAATCCTGAAAAAAAAGCAGCAGAAGAACCAGTATGCTATAATCTTCATAAGATTAATACTATACAAAATAAGGTACAATTAAGTAACTCATCACCTACAGGTCAAATCCACTCTTCACTGGCTGTGGCAGTCATAGATGTAGAGATGAAATGTCTAGCATAGCATTGGAACTACTATTTGCTTTAATATGGTGATCTACAGTAATCTTCATGGAGAAAAATTCTCTTGCAGCAGCTCCCTCCAATAAGCAGGAGAACTAATTTTTCTTAAAAACTCAAGAAGAGGAGGGCACCACTGAATTCCGTTGTGAATATTAATGTATTTGCACAGTTATTACCCTTTCTGTTGGGGTTTGGAGCAGTCAGGGGTCTACTTATGCAGACAATTGACTTAACCGTTTTCATATACTAATTAATATTTTCATATACTAATGTTTGACATGCATGTGTTGGACTGTAACTTTTTTGCACTGGTTAATTTGATCTTAGGACACAAATTAAAACGAAGCATGTGTTCAAAAGACCAGCTGCCTAAGTGCCATGTGGCCTCAGAAATGACATCTTTTGTGCGGGTGCAGACAAGCAGCTCAATCAAGACAGAACCAGCAACAGGTAGGAAACTGAAATAACAACCTTCACAACAAAGACAAAAGGAAGAAGCCACAAGCTCAGTCATTCCTTCCACAGACCCAAGAATCACTTGGGGAATCTACTCAAAAGCCAGCCAGCCT